ACATAATTGAGAATATAAGAATTTGTAGAGAACAAACTTTTATTTCAAATTCGCTCTGTCTTGAAATGAAGAAAGACCTTTCTTCTTATAGAGAAATTCGGACTTCAAACAAATCTTCATTTTGAAATATCTTAGAAAACAGCGTCATCTTTTGCCTTCTTTTGAATAACTGATCCATCTTTTGAGAAGTGGGGAACAGCATCTTGAATTTTTCTCAACACTTTAAGCAACTTTTGACTAACTTTATAAAAGTAGAAACTTTACTTTAATAAAGTTAATTTTGGCAAACACATCTTGAAAAGAATGTCTTTTGATTTAGTAACCCAGTAATTTCTGAATTCTTCAAGAAAACTGGGTTCTTGTAGTCATTTGATTCTTACAGCCTTCTCATGTGTAAGAAAATCATCATACCCTAAATCAATTAGGTCATCACCATTGTCTGTCTTTTGAGAATTTTGAGATTCTTGATCTGAGTCTTGAGTAGTTGATTTTTTAGATCCAGTTTTAGAAATTTGTTCATAAATTTCTAATAATTCTTTCGGATCCTTGCATTTTGATAACATTGAAATAATCCTTTATTTCTCAGTCAGAAAATCTACCTGATTTTCTTGTTATTTCTTTGAGAATTTTGGGACTCTAAAATTTCTTTGTTTTTGAATCCATGATTAAACTGCTTTTGGACAGCAATTTGTTTCTTTGAATTTGGACCACCATTTGACTTTGAATCTTCTGGTAATCTTTTGAGTAAAGAGTTCATCATTTTGATTCTGAAGCAAAAAGAAATCCCAACAAAAGATACATGATACTTTCATATTAAAATTAAATAGAAACAAAACATTCTTATGAGGCTTTAAAAACATTTTTGCCTCTCTTTTGAAGTATTCATATCCTTGAAGAGTAAGATTGGACAAAATTTTCTCTTCAATTCCATGATACAGAAACCCAAGTTTGAAATCATTTTGGAAAATGAGAATGACAAGAATGAACCATGAATGAGTAACAGGTCTAAAGAAAAAGACTCTGTACCAAGCATTCAAATAATCAAAATAATTGAAATATTAAGTGTTGAAAGATTTGTTGAAGAGAGCTTGAATCTCTTTTCTTCCTATGGGTCTTGTCCCCAGTCTTCGTAGAACAATACCCTAAGGATGCTGATTTTTGAATACATTGTTTCTGATTTATTTTGAGGATTTGGAGTTTGAGATATTATGGCTGATCCTGTTTTGAAAGGATAGTTTCATAATAATCTCAGGATTTTTTGATATTTGATGGAATAAACCAGAACTATTTTGAAAAAATGTTTGGAAGACATTCATCCAAGTTTGAGTATCTGTTAAGCCAAGATGTTTCCATATCAAGGCAATTTTTAAAAATATTTTTGGTGAAATATTGAAAATTTTGAGGTGGGTTTATTTGAGGAAGTTTTCCAGAACTTTGGACGGCTTTTTTATAATTTGAAAGGGTAGCTTTTTCTTTGAGTTTATTTTGATCGAGTTTTTTGACAAGGATATTTGAAAAAGATGAAGCTTCTTGAGCTTCTTTTTTGGAATGATCTTTTAAGGGATCATTAATTGAGAAAATTGGAGTAGAATTTTTCTTTCTACTTTGTTTCTTTTGGAGTGGATTTCGATCTTCATCTTCAACTTGTTTTGCCCAACTTATTTTCACTCTTTATATGAACGAACTCTCTTGTAAGGAGGTCCGCTAAGAAGTTTGTTTTCCCTTGTATATAAAGAATTTTAAAATCGAAACAGGATAAAATAGTCTCCCATCTTGCAAAGATTTGTTTGGAAACAAGATTTTTCACATCTTTTTGTAAAACATCTTTTGAGGCTTTACAATCAGTTTTCAAAATAATTTTTTTGTCGATAAGATCATCTTGAAATTTTGAAATACACAGTACAATTGAAAGAATTCCTTTTTTAATAGTAGAGTAATTCTTTTGAGGGTCGGGCCTAACTAACTGTTCTTGAAATGACTCTAGTGGAATTTGTTTTAACACACCACCATATCCAATATCCGAGGTATCTGTCTCAATAATAATTGAGGCTGTGGGGTCAAGGATTGAAAGACAGGGAATATTTTTTATTACTTTTTTGACTTGTTGAATTGCAACTGTGTGCTCGTGACTCCATGAGTCGGGATTGTTTTGTAATCTTTTGAATAATGGGGCACAGATTTGACGTATACTTTTGACAAAATCAGCCACATAATTGATATAACCTAAAAAACATTGCAAACTTGTTTTGTCTATGATTTCATTTGGAAATTTGTCAATGAAATCAAAACTTCTTTGAATTGGAGTTAAAGTGCTTTTATGAATGTGATGTCCAAGAAAACGAATTTTTGTTTGAAATAAAACAATTTTTTTTAACAGAAACTGTTAAACCATTTTTATTAATAATATGAATGAATGTATGTATATGCTTGAAATGTTGCTCTATATTTTCAGAAAATATAAGAACGTTGTCAATATAAACAATGATGAAATTTGAAAAAGGATTAAAAATGTCATTTATAATTTTTTGAAATTCAGAGGGAGTATTTTTGAGACCGAATGGCATAACATTCTATTCGTATTGTCCGAAAGGAACATTGAAAGCAGTGTTGTATTTGTCTTTTTCTTTAATTTGAATTTGCCAAAAACCTGACTTCATATCAAAATTTGAAAAGACAACAGCTTTGCAAAGACGGTTCAAAAGATCTTTCTTTTGAGGAATATGATATCTAATTCATTAAAGAGCAGTATTAAGAGGTTTAGAATTGATAACCAAACGAGGAACTCCTTGCTCAATTTCAGCAGAATTATTGACATAGAGAGCTGAACAGCTCGAGGGAGAAAGCAAAGACGGTTCAAAAGATATTTCTTTTGAGGAATATGATATCTAATTCATTAAAGAGCAGTATTAAGAGGTTTAGAATT